GAAGGAGAGAAACTATTTAATGTAATGAAAAAAGTAGGAGTGATAGAGCAGGTGGAAGAGGTGGAACTTATGATAAGGATAGTAATTTTATGAAGTTATGAGGAGGCAGCTTTCATAAGAATATCGCACTAACTGGGTTTTTGATTCCTAGGTCATCAGGGTAAATGAATTTACTCAGTACTGGTCGGTTCCTGAAGCAAAATCTTAAAACGCAACGTTCTACCCTTGCGATATCAAACTTTTTTTGTCTGTAAATGTTTATGAGACGTCTAGCCCAGTCAAGAAACATGCAAATTTTTCGGCGGGAAAGCAGTCTCGGGAACCAGGAAGGGTAGAGAAATGAAACTTTGTTGGAGCATCCTCTGCGGATGTGTGAGCTAAAGAGTTCAAATTCAGCTCCTACGCATTGGTGTTTCTGACGCATGGGCACCTAAAAAATTTGTCGGGAAAATTGCTAACTCTGTAACCAAAAAAGTTGGAAAGCTGAAAATTTCAGGAGTTCCCTGTTCAGTTTAGTCCTCCAGGTATGGACAATTAAAATTTTTGGCAGAAAAGTTGCTCACTGAATGGCTAGATCATTTTTAAGGAATGGCTGCTAGACGGAAATTGATCATTTCCCTTTATGCAAAATTTACGACCATTTACGGTAGTGAGCGCACAAGGCAGGTGTGAAGCAGCAACCATTCATGCAATTAGCGACCTAATTACTTGAAGTCTGATGCAAAAACGCATGATCGCACTGGCAAGCTTTGTGCGTTTCGGCTGGGTTATGCTTTAACTTCAGTGTCAGTCTTGTTTTTATTTAATAAGTATGTTTTGGAATATGTCACGGATTTTCAAATCAACGACCAGAAAAACTGGAAATTTGAAATTTTGTAAGTTCGCCCATACTAGGCGGAGGAGTGCAGAAAAACGCATGCTCTCATCGATTACGTCTGCATAGAACCAGATACTGAATTCTAAAATTGAAATAGTCGACGAGAAACATGTTTGATGATGAGAGCAGTAGAAATGGACGTTGGTTGTGTCGGAAAGAGTGCTAAAGTGAGGTTTTTTGAAATGTTTCTTCGCAACCATGCATGCAGTCAAGCTTTCCAACAGATGAACCGTTAGCAGGACGTCGTTATGAGCATGCGAGAATTCAAAAACCTGTGGAGCGGATAATGCAACCAAAAATTGGTAGGCATATTAGGAAGCATGTTAGTAGCCACTGCTAACGTCGAAAACTAGCTTGTTGGGGTGATTGTTCGAGTTAGAAATAATTTTTCACATTCAAACTTTGAGCACCAGGGCACTCACTTTTTCTTTCTTCGCTTATCTGTTCACCTGTTTGTTTGTTTGCTTATCACACCAAAACACATTTTGAATTTTAAAACTGCGATTTAATCATTTTCCTGGAAAAAATTGTCAGGAACAGGGAATTTTGCAGGCGCAATCGAAAAATGCTGCGGTACCATTCCCATCTTGGGTTGTGAAATTGTCCCAGTGTCATCCTCGCTCATTCCCGGAATCGGTGATGCGACGTGGTGAAATGGTTATTCCGCTGCAATATGGTACCAACAAATGTGCATCCCAGAAAGGTATGACACCGTATGGACTGACAAGGCAAATTAAACCCGAAGGCTGAAGTTCTGCTGTTGAAATTTAGCATCTTATAGCTGTCATTTTAATTTGAATTTCTCATGTTAATACTGCGCATTTGCCAGAATCGCCTGGGTTACTCTGCCATTGAAATGCAATATCTATAAGCTAAGTGCCGTTTTGTTAGGCCCTTGTATTCCAGGCCATCTGTTTTTTATTTCTAGTCGTTGTACGAACTGTTTAACGCAACATTTCATCAAATTGCGTTTAATTGCTAATTTATCACTGATCTGGTGCTACAGTCCGTGATATGTGATGTCCAACTGATGAAATTCTTGAAAATGCTATCATTCATCTTCACGCGTTTTTGTCTATATGCAGGTATTTGAACTCGACAACCAAGCAAGCTCCAGCGCCAAAATTTTACCTGTTGGTTCCCCGGCCAAATGCTAGCCCAGGATCGCGGTACCAACCTTCACGCACGCCTGGGTCCCGCGTGCGAGCGCATGAAAATTTTGGCAGGAAAATTGCTAACTCGAGAATGGGAAAAGATAGCTGAAATTTTGAGGTTATATTCCCCATCCACATGTAACGCAGAGATTTCAAATTCAGCTCCTAAGTGTGCGTGGTTCCTGCTTACGGCCCCTGAGGTTTCTAGTGCGAAAATCGCTAGTTTGGGGACCAGGAAAGCCAAGAGGAGGAAATTTTTTTTAAGGGAATGTTCCACGCCCATGCTCATCTCAAAATTATCAAATTCAGCCACCAAGCATATGTGGTTCTCACGCACGGCTCCGTAAAAATTTTTGGCAGGAAGGATTGCTAACTCCGGAAAGAGGAAGGCTGAGAGACTGAAATTTCCAGGAGATGTCCCCAGTCCATATAAAACTTAAATTTATCAAATTCAGCTTCCAGACACGCGTGGTTCCCAAGTATGGTCTCATGAAATTTTATAGGGGGAAAACGGCTAACTTGGAAACCAGGAAAGCCGGCAGGCCGGAATTTTAAGGGGATGTTGAAAACCCACATACAACTTAAAGATTTCAAACCCAACCCCCAGGTATGTTCCTAGTTCACTTGCGGCCCCTTGAAAGTTTTGGCGGGAAAATTACTAGTAAGATAAATGAAATACAATAAGATATTTTTATATTAAAAGAACTAATAAAATGTAAAAAAATATTTTTAATGGTAAGAAATGTTTCGATCCATTAACTCGGGAACCAGAAGAGCTGGAAAGCTGAGATTTTAGGGTAATATTCTCCGTTCAAATACAACTTAAAAGATTCAAATTCAGCCGTCAGGCGCACGTGGTTCTCGTGTACTGGCACTTGAATTTTTGACGGGAGAATTTCTCACTGTTTAGCTGGGTCTTTTCAAACCCAGGCTGGAACGTACCGAGCGGGCCCGTGCAATCATGCGTTTTTGCATCGGACTTGAATTACTTAGGACATTAACTGTATGAATAGCTGTTGTTTTACACTTGCCTTTTGCGGCCACTAGCATAAATCACCATAAATTTTGTAAAGCAAATGTGTAATTCCCATTTAACAGTCGTTCTTTAAAAGTAACCTAGTTGTTCAGTGAGAAATTTTTTCGTCATGACTTTAGGTTCCCGTACGTAAGAACCACGCGTACTTCAAGGCTGAATTTGAAATACTTAAGTTTTAGACTTGGACAGGGAACATTCTCTCAAAATTTCAGCTTTCCAGCCTTTCTGGTTACCGGGTTAGCAGTTTTCCCGCCAAACACTTCACATTACCGTACTTGGGTACTCCACGTGCTTGCAAAGATGAATTTGACATTTTTAAATTACACATAGACAGGGAACATCCGCCTAAA